TCCAACAAGCATCATCTTTTATGGTGCATATTTTATTAAGTTTTCTGGCTGAGTGATTCCTTTTTTTTATAGGAAACTTTACATTTTCAAAGCTCTTTCATAAAGTTAATCTCTTTTAACTGCCACAGGACCTAGGAGATTAGAATGGGTGATGTGCCTATACCCATGTTGCTGACAAGGAAACTGAAGCAAAGAGAGATCTGACTCTTAAAGTTGGTGAAATTACAACTTAATTATCAAAGCCTTATTCACTGCAGGGACTCAGAAATAGGCACAGAAATCAATTTCAGAGAATCACTTAGCAGTAACTGGAAAACGTCTTCATTGAGTTAGAAAATCAGAATGAATCATTAACCCCCAGGCTCAGGTTGTGAAACTTAGAAGTTCGCATTAAGGATTTTGTTCTTGCATTTTAATCTTGTGAATTCTGCTTTCATATGCCATTTGAATAGCACAGAATCCCAAGGACACACAAGGTCTTTAGAAATTAAAGTCATAAACTTCTGTGAATGTTTTGAGAGCCTTTCCACATTTCCATGAATCTTATATACTTTTTCTTGTTAGAGTATGGCAAGAAATCCTTCCCCTAGGAATGAGTCAGAAACCCGTCTCCAAAAGGCAGGGCTCTATCCCACCCAGCCTGGCCCTCTCCTAGAGGGACAGTGAGCTTCCTATTTGGTTTATTTAACTGTATCATGACTTTTGAGTTGAGTAGTCAGGGTAGAAGAACCAACAATAATCCAGACTTCCAGAAACTAGTTGTACAGGGACCTTTATATCCTCTTGGCCCACCTAGCCCTCTCCTGCCATTGCTGCTACACGCAGTGCCTTGGTGGTCAGGTGGATCACATACTTTCTGCCCTGGCACTGCTCTGACTTCATGTGTGGGACCAAAAATGGGATGGCTGCAGGAATGCCCAGCCATCAGGCACACACAGCCTGGAAGTACATAAGAGTTAACAACCCACAGAGCGACCTTTGGCTGATGAGGATGGTGGGTGGTAGACAATTTTGAAGTGCAATACATGAGACTTCTCAGATGGTCCCTGCAGGATCAAGCCTGGCTGACCATAGCGGTGAACAACAAAGAAATGTGTCCTTCCTTTCACTGGCTTCCCTCCCTCCTCATTTCAATGTCCCAGCCCCTCACTCTTATTCTTGGTATTATTCCCGAAACAAAACTACCTGAATGCAAGCCCTTAGCTCCAACTTTGCTTTGGGAGAGAACACAGGGACCCCAAGCTGGTATTTAAACTGATTATAGAACACCTGGAAAGTTAACATTATCACATAATATATCACCAATTAAAATTACATTTATTTCTTCATTCTTCCATTAGAGAGGGAACAATGGTGATTGAAGAAAAAGCCCTGAAAGAGGAGGTGTGGGTTTCAGTTTTGCCAATAACGAGTTACGTGACCTAAGCTACGCTGTTTAACTATTTGGACCTCAGTGCCTGATCAGCAAAATAAAAGAGATGAATTGGATTGCAACATTTCTAAGATCACTTCCAATCCCACAATTGCATATCTATTAAATAAAAACATCTAGGTGACAGTTTGCAGTAGCTGCTCTCCCCCTCATTATAACCCTAGGGATCGTTCTGGCTAAAAATACGGCAATATTTTAATGCAACTTTAGACAGGCAAGTGAACCAGTCCTCTGAAGGTCTAGATTAGAGAGTGGGCAGCTATTCAGAACCTCAAAAAACAATAACGCTGATGAAAAGAGAACACGTTAGCTTCTCTGGGAGTCAGCAAACATTAGCAGGGGCTGCAACATTAAGATAAGAACAGAGTAATGAGAAAACGAGTTGCAACCAACTTCCTTGACTGCATGCCAGCGGTCACTCAGTGATTCGTCAAATCCCGAACAGGGCTTGATAAATGGACTCTGAGTGTTGAGATTTTTTTTTTTGCTCTCTCTTTAGAAGTTACTTGGAAACATAGTTTGGAAAATACTTCTACTTTGAGAAAAATAACAAGATCCTGCAAGTGTCAGGGACAGGCAATAAAACATTAAAAGGATACAGGCTTTCCATAAATCCCAAAGCAAGGAGCATTAATCAAGGAAAAGATGAAAGATCATGCCATTTAAGTCAACTGAAGGGCCACAGAACATGCAAAATAAATAGATTATAAAGCAAATGAGGTTGCAGATGTCACCATTTATAAGACATTTAACAGACATGACATAGGTACTGTTATCTCCATTTTATACTTGAAAGAAAGGCTCAGAGAAGTAAATAATTTATCTGCTGGCACACAGCTAATTAGTGGCAGAGCTGGGGTTTCAATTTTTTAAGTATATATTTTAAACTAATTAAAAATTATATGTATCAAAGTAATACATGAACATAGTTAACAAATCAAATAGCACTAAAGAGATGTAATAAAATATAGCAGTGCTTTCCATCTTGCTACCTTTTGTCCTTGGCCTGTATTTCCTAATGCTTTCATTTGATTTTTTAATTTTGTTTATCACATTCTTAATTTTTAAAAGTGCCTTCTTATTCATGGTTGCTCCTATTATTATTTTTAAAAAGCATCCTGTTCTTATTTCATGGATGCAATATCTTACCTCTCTGAGAATACTAACAGCATTTTTTAGTTTTTTGTTTTCTTCCTCTCCCTGTTTTCTCTGAATTTCATTTTTTTTTCTGTCTTTTTTGGCCCCTGTCTTTCATATTGGATGCTTATAAAATGTTCTGCGATTCTGTTTTCCACGTGTCATAGTAATGCATTAAAAAGCTAAATGGGAGTTGCATGTGTGTGGGAGGGGTACACTTGCTAGATAAAATAATTTGAGTTTCAGATAAAAATTTTCTTTTCAACATTTTTGATACATAATATTTATACATATCTATTGGGCACATATGACATTTTATTACATGCATAGAATGTGCCATGATCAAGTCAGGGTATTTAGGATATCTGCCACCTTGAATATTTATCATTTCTATTTGTTAGGAACATTTCAGGTCCTCTCTTATAGCTATTCTGAAATACATAAAAAATTATTTTTAGTATAAATATGTCCCAAATGTTTCATGAGACATCTAATTATCTTTCTATTCTAAGAAACTATTCATTGTTTTTCTGAAACTTAAATGTAACTGGACTTTCTGTACTTCTGCTTGCTAAATGTGGCAACCCTGGGTGTGTGGCTTATAGATCCCTAGCTTCTAAGTGCTTGGCCATGGTCTATAGGTTTTCAATCCAGAGACTGGTTCCATTTAACTTAAACCCTTCTTCTGAGCACTGTATCTCATTCCCACCCTGTACCTTTCCTCAGTTCAGAGATCTTCATTTTATTTCTCCAGAGAATAAATTTCTGGCCTTCTTCAGGTAGAATAAAGGGAGTGACCTGGCTGTGTTGGTAGAGGACTTCCTGGATGCTGAGCATTTTATAGACTGACTTTCTAGCAATCTCTTTGAGCTTTGAGTGTCTTAAGCTTTGGACATCCCTTACAACTGAACCTAATTCTAACTGATGCAGTGACACAGTGCTTTTCAAAGGGAGTCATTTCAAAGCGAGTGACACAGGACTTCCTAGAAAATGTGATAGAAGAGACAGATCTTAAAGGATGGTCAGTTCAGGAAGTCAGCGAGTGGAGGAACAGGATTCCATGTGGAAATGGTGATACAGTGAGGGCACAGGAGCATTACACAAGGTGTTCCAAAGGGTGATGCATAGACTAGTCTGGTTGACACAGACCAGTTATGTAGGGGAGAAGTGGAAGGTTAGAATGAAAAAAAAGTTGGGGCAGATTATAGAGGACCTTGAAAGTCAAACCAAGTTTAGAGCTTCCTTTGAAAGCAATGAGGACAATGAAGGTTTTTTGAGATGGAAGTTGGAGATACAGGTCTACAGTGTGAGGGAGGGTTAGAGTGAAGAATTTCAGAGTCTTTTGTACAAAGGTCATAACATAAATAGAAGTAACATAGAAATGAGGCCAGAGGAGTGACCTGAGTAGAGAAAGAAGAACGTGGTTCAAGAGCTTAATCACAGGAGCAAGGAGAAAAGAAACCTGCCAAGGATCTAGAAAAGAAGAGAGAAAGGCAGCTGGAGATTGGGGAAGCAAGGAGAGTAGAAATTAATAATAACTCATTAAACCTTCAGATATCTCAAAGAAGATGGAAACTATCAGAAATGAGTACAGGTCATCACAGCTGAGGAAAGAAATGTAAGTCTCTGGTGACCTCTGAGAGTACAATCCTGAGAGAGTGTGGAGACAGACTCTGCTCTTCATGGTGTAAATGGGTGGTAGGAAAATAGAGGTACTAAATGTGCTCTATTTACTTAAAAGGTAGACAGTAAAAGAAAGGTAAATAAAACAGCAATTAAAGATTTCCATGGGATCAAATGAAATAATTTTTTAAGGGAGTAACATAGCTTGGGCTCTAAGATAGGAAAAGAATGTGCAAATCAGTGGCAGAACAAATTTCCAGGCTGCTAAAAGACGTGGCACCTGATAAAGCAGGTCTCACTGGAAATAGGAGGGTACAATTTCCAGCTCAGAGAAAGGCCTGAACTTTGGCGAAATGCAGGGAAAGAATGAGATAGAAAAGAAGCAAGGAATAAACTGTTGGATTGCTAATTTTCAATCAGTGAATATTTTTCATCTTTATTATCAGTGCCATTATATAGCTGACCAGAACTTAATAGTCTTAAATAGCAATATTAGTCAGTATCTAAAATTAAAATAGCCAACACTTAGTTTCAGAGTTGTGTGTCAAACAAGGCTCATAAACAAGGCTCATGAAACAGAAGACAAATAGAAATCTTGTGATTGTAGCCTTGATTCTCTTGGCTTATACATACCACTTTAATGAACATCATTTATAGGAGAGAGAAACAACAAGAAAAAAGTTTATCTCATTTACACATTGACATCCGTGCTAGAATAGCAGGAAACTGCCAGTGTAGACCTGGAGATTAATTACAGGATGGAATTTTAGGTATCCATTTGTCAAATAGATCAAATGCCAATACGTACTCAAAGTACAGCGTGAGGTCTGTTGCCAATATTGACTGCTTCAAAAGCTGCATAAGGTCACTATATTCCTTGGAGGACAGGTTAGCAAAGATATTGTGACCCTGTAAGGAGAAAGTCAAAAGTCACAAAGGACAACATTAAATCTGTGGTTGTTGATTACATGTTTTTCCTGTATTAAAAAAAAGTCTTGGAACATTTAAAAAAATCACTTTTTAAAAAGTGTAGTGAGATTTTGCATAAATATAAACAGATTCCCTGGAAGCATAGCAAAGTCACAATGCAAGTCATTTTTGAGGAAGTCTACCAACTTTGTTACGTGTTTAGTCTCAAAGGGAAATTTGAAATTGTTGGAATTTATCTTACTGTGAATATGTTGTACCCACAATTCCATCTGACTACCTGTTTCCTATGGAATTACTTAGAGGAGAAGTTTGTAAAACATTTGAGAACATTTCTCCCCTAAAATAAATACTATTTTTACTTCCAGTAAAGGTTTAAGCTGGCATTTTGGAAACACTTGCCATAGCAACAAATGACTTTAAGAAGAATAAAAAGCCATTAGACAGTGTTTCCTAACTGGAGGAGATGTCGACAATGGGGAACATTAGCAAGGTCTAGTGACATTTTTGATTGTCACAACCGACAGGAGTGCTACTGGCATCTAGCAATAGAGGCCAGGGATGCTGCTACACATCCTGTGATGCACAGGAGACTCCCACAACAAAGACTTACCTGACCCAATATGTCACTGCTGCTGAAGCAGAGGAACCCTACCTCCCACCATTAAGGTGCATCTTGATGAAGTGTTTGTCAGGCTACTTTAGTACGGTGAATATGAATAATTATTGAATAGCTAGGATGTATAAGGCATGGTTCTTGGCACAATGGGATTCTAAAATGACCATTACCTAAGTAAAGTTGGGATGACATCTTTATCTCTGTACCTTTGAAAGATACCCTTGTTTTCATCAAAATTTATGTTACCCACACTAGGCTAAAATATTTGTTTTTAGTAAAGTGAAAAATCGTTCTGTAAAGTGACCAACAATTCACTTAGTTTGTTTTGAAAGTTAGGACTTTTCATTTTTCAGGTTTTCTTAGTGTGAAATATGAACCCATCATTATATGGCCTGGGAACTGGACCAGTTTTAAATCTTATGTTGAGAGCTGGAAGATGGTGGAGGAGTACTGCCTGAGAATGAACCATTATCCAATGAGAGGTAAATTAATTATTTCATCGAATTAGAATATCAATTAGTAAATGATCTCTTACCAGGCACCAGATAATAATCTGTTCTCCCAAGTTAATTTATTTCATTGGGTGAACCCGCCACTCCTTAAAGACTAGAGTATCTTGGTTCCACCTGGGACCAGGTCCAATATTAATAATAATTTTCAAATGAGCTCTTCAGACCCTTAATTCAGTCATTAAGAAGACAAATAACAAAAGGAATGCTGCACCATGATTCTGCCCAGGTTTTTTGCCTGTGCATTACCCAAGGGTCAATCAGGCAGGTGTTCTGGGACTGGGGAAAAAGTGGTAGGAAGCTCTGGAAAAGCGGTCACCTGGGTCCAGCCATGCACCCAGCATCTCCCAAAGAAATGCAGCCTTTAGGAGCAAGCTGCAGCAAAGATTAACACTGAGATATGAAGAAAGCTGGTCTGAACTTGAGGATGCTGATTATTTTATGAGGCTGTGCAGTTTATTACAGTCATGCATCATGTAACAATGGGGTACATCCCAAGAAATACATTGTTAGGTGACCTCCTGATTGTGTGATCATACAGTGCACTTACACAAAACTAGATGATAGAGCTTACTGCATACCTAGGCTATATGGGATAGGCTATTGCTCCTAGGCTACATCATATGCCCATACAGCATGTTCCTGTATGGAATGCTGTGGGCAACTATAACACAATGGTATTTGTATATCTAAACCTATTTAAACATAGAAAAGGTACAGTAAAAATATGGTATTTTGAAGGATATATAATCACTAATGACATTTACAGCTAACAGTGACAGTGCTAGCCAGATCAGCTTTAAAAAAGTTAATTTGCAATCAGTATATTGTTTATATGCAGATTAGTCTTCTATAGTGCCTTAACATTTTGGTCCCTGAAGTAGATTTGAGTCTCCCTGAAATCCTGCTTCTACTCTTTGTTTAGGGAAGCAGTGTGTGACATTAATGGAAAGACATGCAGATGTGGAGGAAGAAAGGTCTGGGCAAACTTCCTCAAGCCATCTAACCTGTCTGCACCAGAGCTTACTTGGAAAGTGGAACAATACCACCACCAGCATTTCTGCCTTTCTGATGGGCAGGACCACAGGGGATTGGAGGCAGTGCTGGGACAGAGCATGGTTCCGCCTTTGATAGCCTCTGCTCTTCATAGGGAACCCCAGAGTGAAGGACGGTCAATGTGTTTTGTTTGCATGAACACAAATTGTGAGTGAGTGGGGTTTGTTTCCCTAAGGAAGTCTGACATCGTGTTTGTAATGCTTGTTATTACAGAGGTGGTGATTCGTGGAGCCAGAGGTGTATAGTCATCACCTTTATCAGTACAGAAAATATAGTCTGAATCGAAGTTCTTCCATAGTTCTCAGCTAAGACATGGCTTTTGGAGGAAAATTCCATAGCTACAGAGGTCAGGATGCTGGTTTCTGCCAGTTACTGAGAGCCTAACTCTTGGTGTTACATTCCCAACTGAAAATACATTATTCCCAGCAGGTTTTCCCTTGTGCAGCCTGCATTCAGGTTCCGGAGTGCTGACTCTCCTTTATGGGGTCGAAGGCCTCCATCATATTGCAAAAGACATGCTTTCTCAAGATAGGCTGGAGGAAAAAAACCTCCATATTTAATGATGCTATTCCAGCGAAGCAGGGCCTTAATGATGATAATAATAATAATTAATGGCACAGCTAGAGAACTGACAAATAATGGGGAACAGATGATCCCTTCCTGGCCTCACAAAAAAAAAAAAAAAAAAAAAAGGTCTGTACGCCTGCAGAAAATTAAACAGATTCTTTCCTGGCAATTTAAAACTCAGATGCCACAGCCAGAGTCAGTTAGTGGTTTCTGTTTTTCTCTGTGGAGAGCTAAAAGTATAAAATTCCAACTACTTCCAACTCCTGCATTGCCACACAAAGCAAAATAAGGCATATGGCATCAGCCCTGAGTCTTCAGTTTAGCTGCAGTTCTCACATCCTAACTGGTCCCACCAGCAATTTTAAGTTCTTTTATGTTTTATCGTTTCTTAGTTGTGCTAATAAAGTGTAACTTTCTCACCCTATTTTTGCTTCTACCATCTTTTAAAATGACTTAGAATTTCACAAAATGGGAATGTTGGGCCACTCACTATTTGGATTAAGTCATTCCCTTAGTGCTCTGCATCCTTTGAGGAAGGTTAGGTCATGCTCTGGTGACAAGCAGTCTATATCTGTTACCTTGTTAAGTGAATCTGAAAAGCCTCATCATCAATAATTCAGCCCAAGTGAATCAGCTCAGAAGACTCTGTAAGGTCCTGCTCAGGTATCTAAAAGAACAGCAAAAGCCACCAAGGCCCAGCAATTTGACTTAGAAATGGTTTTCCGGCTTCTTTGTCTCTATCTGTGGCACCAAAAAGAAAGGGAGGGAGGAACAGTGTTGTTCTGGTTTCTGTCAAGTGGAGAAGTGGACCGTGGGGCCTGTACCTCACTTTGAAGGATCATCACAGCGTGGTTAAAATGGTGATGCTCCAAGGTAGCAGAGGTTCCATAGAGCTGCGCCAGGGCAGAGCCACTCCTGAAAGAGGACAGAGAAATAGAAGAAAGTTCCTAATACATAGAACTTTCTAGGTATTAGGCTAGATGCTCCGGATGATATACGATGAATTCGGCACAGTCTCTGGCCTTGAGAAATTTACAGACTAGTAAGAAAGATGAGATGAGATCATAAGGAAAAATAATGCATATAAAAACAATGCAAATAGTAATACAACGTAGAAATGTGCTCCAGGTCCAATCGAAGTGCCATGGATGTTCTGAGGAAAAAAAGACATAATTGTCTTTTTAACTTCTCTGACTTCTGAGTGTTCAGAACAACTGTCTTATACAAAACGAATTTGACCTTCCATGGGAGATGACCTTGTGAATATTCTGCAGAGTGCATTTTATCAACTCTACGTGAAAGGTTTCCCAGTCCATAGTCATGCTATGTTATCTCAGTGTGGAACTCTGAAAGTTCTCTGAATTTGGAGTGAAATCTCAGCTCTTCCGCCAAGTAGTAGCTTTGGATGGTTATTTGGCCTCTTTAAGATTCAGTTTCTTTGTCTCTAAGATCATATTATCTACATAACCTGTTATTTATGAGAACGATAAAATATTTGAAAATGCCTATTATAGTTCCCAGAATGTAGTAGATTGTAATCTATATTAATTATTAATAATTAAAACACATATGACTATTTCCATTTTAAATTAATAAAATACTCATGGATACTTAAAGGGAGTACTCTGAGTTATCTGTAAATTTCATTTATGTAGAACAACCCATTTCTTAACAACATCAGTTCTGCGGTGTTCCCTATATAGGAGTGTGAGGCAGGAGAATTGCTTGAAATAGGGAAGCAGAGGTTGCAGTAAGCCAAGATCATGCCATTGCACTCCAGCCTAGAGGACAGAGCAAGACTCAAGAAAAAAAAAAAAAAAAAGTTCAAAAACATTTATTTCCAACTTTGTTTAAGGGATGGGAGTTAGAGCATCTTAAGAATCAAGAGATCCCAGAGAAGTCCACAGTGTAAAAGGCAGCCATGGCACTCAGGCTAAGGAACCATCTAGAGCTTTTTGTTCTTTCTTGCTAATTGCAGGGGGCTTCTACATTGAAAGTGCCATTTGGCCTTAACTTGGAAACGCTGGAGATTGACTGCACACAATTTGTCCTGCCAGTGAAAGAAGCAAGGACTGCATCTAAATGCAAAATGAAGAATTTTGGTCACAGGCTTTCCTTCATCTTCAGTGTGAGGCAGCCCAAAACCACCATCAGTTCAGGGGTAGAAGGGACCTGCAATTCTTGGAAAGACTCTCCTATTTCTCCCAACATGTGGTCGCTCATCCAACAGGATTAGGTTCAGTAGTGATTGTTGAATATTATATGAAACAATATAATATAAAATATAGGAATTATTATTCTTAGTAAAGTGCTTAGTAAGGAGGGTATTAGATTTTAAACATGTATGTGTTATTTCTTTAAATCTTGCCTTAATTTATATCATTTAATAAGTGAAAATTTGCTAGGCAAATCTTAGTAATCAGTGATAAATTAACATTTAATGTTAGTTACTATTTGTCTTACATAGAGCTCATTTCTATGAAGATACATGTTTCAAAATGTATACTATATGCCTTTTTCTTAGCTGTTGAAATTTTGTGATGCTTTGTGTGCATATCACATTCTAGTGCCTGGCATGGAGTAAGTGCTTTAAAAAATATTGGTTTCTTGTCTAATAAGTTTACAGTAGCTACTATGTCGAGAGACTACAGTTCAAGTTGGGAGGTTGATAATAGTGGTGTTAGCGTATTTTATAATACTAATACTATTATTAATAAAAGCAACCATTAGTAAGTATCTGCCATGCACTAGTCTATATATTAACAACTGAATACATTATAGCATTTAGTCCTGACAATGACCAAGATATAAGTATTATTTTCTCATTTACACATGAGGAAAACAGGGCTCAGAGAAGTTAAATAACTTTCCCAAGGTCACACAGCTAGCTTTTATCAGTTCTAGATTTGAATCCAAGTTTTTAAGCTTCTTATTACATAATGAAAATGATAATTATAGTTATCACCTACATTTGATATTTGATTCCCCATTTTTACCAAGCTGGTTGTTATCAGTGAAAGAAAATTTCAAAATTTAATTCAGAATTCTATTAGTATCACTACTAACCACAGGCTTAGATTCCTGTGATCATTCCTGTGAATCAGCCATGCTCACATGCACCTCACTTACTGTGTGAATGTTTTGTATCTAGTCAAGATACAAATGTTATTTCTTCCTTTATTCATGTTGGGTTAACAGACTCTCCAAAAGTTACATCAGCTAGATGATCAGAAGTCACTCTGTATCTTTGTTTCAGTGAATAAGGAGATGTTTTCTCCTTTAAGTGAGTGGGGATGGGGACGATGATGACACCTTTTAACAAATACATCACGGCTTCTGATGCACGGCTAGTTTCTGTGCATAGGAGGGAGCCTCTCCCCCATATCCATATGCCTCCGATCTGGTGTATTCTATCTCACAGTATTTGTGCAAAGGCAGCTACTGTCTATGGTTTGAGCAGTTCCTTGTCGGATTCCCTCTTTGTTCTCTTCTGTAATTCCACCTTACATTCTTCCCACCTTCACACAATACTGATTCAATCACAGAAAATAGGTAGAGTCTGCAACTGAACCAGTCTAATGTCATGAAAATGTGGGGAGATATTGTAAGTCATTCATTCATCCGTCATTCATTCAACCAATAAGCATTGATAACTATTACTATGTCAGGCCCCACGCATGTGGAATACAAAGGGACATGTTCTAATCTTCAGGAAGCTCACAGCCCCCTATAATTGTGTCAGGGATTTTTCTCTGATCAACTTTGCACTAACAATTCTCACTTTTCTGCAAGCAAGATGCCTTCATAGACCTCAGAGAATGGAGCATGGTACCAACTCAACTTTGTGGGTTTTTTTTTTAAACTAAAATTATCTAAGCAAGAATACTTCCATTTCCAAATGGATCCCTTATTTATACTACTAGATTTGGTCCCTGGCAGATTTTCTAGACTGCCAAACCCCTCACTGCCTTTTGTCTCAGGCCAAGGCCCACTAGGAATGCTGCCTATATCTGCTGTTACACAACAGGGGACTTCCTAGGACCACCAAGAACCAAGTCTACAGCTTTAATATAAGTGGCAATGTGTATATATATATGTGTGTGTGTGTGTGTGTGTGTGTGTGTGCATGCATGTGCATGCGCACGCATGTGTTTGTGCAGATAAGCTTTATGGAAAGTATTCTACAGAATACTAGCTCTTCTGAATGGTAAATAGCATTAAAGGAAGAAGTAAAAAGGGTTCCATGTCCAAATAAGTTTGGAAAATGCTGGCTTTAAAAAGCGAATCTGTTTACTTATGGTAAGAATTTTCCATAGGTGGCAATATGTGAAAATGTATTGTGATTTTGTGTCTGGCGGGGGGACATAATATGCAGCATTATTACTATTAATTGATCATAAAACCTTTTTTTTTTTTTTTTTTGAGACAGAGTCTCCCGCTGTTGCCCAGGCTTGAGTGCGGTGGTGCAACCTTGGCTCACTGCAACCTCTGCCTCCGAGGTTCAAGTGATTCTCCTGCCTCAGCCTCCCAAGTAGCTGGGATTACAGGTGCGTGCCACCATACCCAGATAATTTTTTGTATCTTTAGTAGAGATGGGGTTTCACCATGTTGGCCAGGTTTATCTTGAACTCCTGACCTTGTGATCTGCCCACGTTGGCCTGCCAAAGTGCTGGGATTACAGGCGTCAGCCACCATGCCCAGCCGATCATAAAACCATGTATAAAGAGGTCATGTCTCTCACATAATATACTTGTATATATAAAGGTATGCTTCTACTTTCTCACATAAAATATGCAAAAAAACCTCTGAGATCGATCACATATGGAAAAAATGGACTTTAACAGCACGCCTCAGTTTAATTGTCTGCGCTAAGTATATCCATCACAAAAGTATCTTTGGGGCACACATCCTGTAGTTGTGAAAATACAATTATATATGTAGGGTGTATGGAGAGAGGAAGAGAATCCACATTCCTTAAGTACAAATATCTTTATATATGTATTTATGATGTGTGTTATTGATTAGGTCATCCTAAAATACTAAAGTTTTTCACTTTGGATAGGCAGCTCAATGAGGAGAAACTTGTTCAAAAGAAAAGCCAAAGGGAAAATTTCCCTTCAGGCATTCAGCACTTTGCACAGGCACCAAAAATGTGTGCAAATGTAAATGTACCTTCATAGCTTCCCTAGATATGCATATTCTTTGAAAAAGAGATGCAATGGCAGTGTGCAGCCATTGACTTAAAGGAAACTTTAAGAAAGAAAACTATGAAAGGTAATTAGGAAATTGAGAATTGTTGGGAGGTGGTGAGGAATGGGATTAGGCTGTCATGGCAGATTAATGTGCCCCAGTATTTCACTTCTGGGACCTGGCTGAAAGCGACAAGATGGGTTTTCATTCCCAAGAAATGAGTATAAGAGATTATGCTAGAAATGAATAGAAGAAGTCTCCTAGGAGAATATACTACAAAGCTGCTTGGTGCTGATATTTAATCATCAGGGGCAGCTGTAATAGAGAGAAGGATGAGTGGGGAACGCTGTCCCTGGAGAAAACATGGGAGAGGTGTGAACAGAGCAATTTCAAAGCACTGTGGTACTGCTGCCCTCTCTACTTATTGATCATTCATTGCACGCACTCCAATACTTAAAAATTAAGAACAAAATATGAAAATGCAAAGGTTCACTTATCAGAAAGGCTAAGAGAATAAATCAAATCGTGCTCTAACGAAAGTCACACTTTTTATTGTAGAGGCATTTTGCATTTTATATAGTAATTTGTCCCTTGCTAAATGTCTCCTGTTTTTTTATAGCCTTATATACGGAAAGAAAAGGTAGCACATACTTTGCCACATAATAATTGGTGCATTTAAATCCCATTTTCAAATCATTTGAAAGACTAGAATTAGACTGGGAGCG